TTTAAAAATATGCCAGAAATGTTATAAATGGTGCAAAGGTGGCATTAAAACAATATCAAAGATTGTTGACACAGACTCTCTACCATTATAGTATGCTCCTCACTTAGTGACAAATTCGTTTACTGACGAGGTCTTAGGAACAGAACTCCGTTGTTAAGCGAGGGGAGGCTGTATATACATTTTTTTAGGTCTAGCTCCAGTGTTCACTTAATATATGATAATGTAAACATGTTATCAGGCTTTTATGTACATTTGAAAGTGATAAAAGGCTATGTTTCACTTTACAGTGATTTTTACTTTAGAGCAATAGCCCAGAACCTAACCTGCTGTATAAGTGGGGTCCACCTGTAGTTTGATTTATTATGTTTTAAGACTATAAAAAAGATACAGGGTACAACATAATTCATAAAATCAAAAGTTGTAATTGTTTAGTTGTAAAAGGGTGAGTGGAACTAATCGATGAGCTACAATATAGTATAATGAAATGTAGTTATGGATATAAGAAGTTAAGTGCAGTGATTATACTGTATATAGTCCTTGGTAGCTAAATAAGAAAGAGTAAGAAATCACTCCATATACGTGTATGATGTGGCTTATGACAAAAAAGTTGCTATGGTAATATATGAAAAATATATTGAAGTCCACAGAGGACCCTAATTTTGCCACCATTTGAAACTGGGTGGTGGTGTTGGTTGGGTTTTAAGGTTTATGACAACCAGCAGGCAGTATGAACCCAATAAATGTTGAGTTAGGGTTAAACACCGGGTTAAACACCGAATTACAGAAAATATCTACCTGGATGAAGACTAACAAACTTACACTAAACATTGACAAAACCTACTTCATTCAGTTTGGTAACAGAGCTACAGATGTACCTCTTAACATAACGATAAACAGATCACCTATCACAAAGCTAACAGAGGGAAAATTCTTAGGAATCCACCTTGATAATAGACTCAAATTTCATACACATATACAACAAATTTCTAAGAAAATTTCCAAGACTGTAGGCATACTATCGAAGATACGGTACTATGTTCCACAGTCAGCCCTCCTGGCCCTTTATCACTCTCTTATTTATCCCTATCTCACCTATGGAATTTGTGCATGGGGCTCAACAACAAGTAACCATCTCAGACCACTAATTACCCAACAAAAGGCTGCAGTTAGAATGATGATAAATTCTCACTACACCAATATTCAAAACACTCAACCTACTCACCATACAAAACATCCATACTTATTACTGCACCTATTACATACATAGAACACTTAACTCTGATATTAACCCTCCCCTCAAACATCTCCTTGCCAACCTCAACAGAACACATGACCATAACACAAGGCACAGATCACTCTTTGATGTTCCTCGCTATGCAAAAACTCAATGCACATAAAAGGCCCTAAAATCTGGAATTCATTACTTGTAAATATAAAAGAAACACTACCTGTTTATAAATTCAAGTCTCTTCTCAAAGATCACTTACTCACTCAAAACCAAATAAATACTGAATAACTGAACCTTATAAATTGTATATCCTAAATGTTACTCACAATTATATCACACAAATGTTAAACCTAGGACCCAATCTAACTTTATTATTTTTTTAAATACACTACCTAACAGAATACTCCATTCGACTGAATGTACAGCAATGCATGCAACCATATGACCTGTCTTTGTAATACTCATTTGTGCTTTATAGTTATCTGTTTACAATAATGTTTTATCACTGATTTCATCATTGCTTAGTTAATCTTAAGTTAATTTTAAGCCAGCCCGTAATGCTATGCATATAAGTGGCTTTGGCATGCTGCTCTTGCCTGTATTTTTTTGTACCTCTGTATGTATGCTAAAATTACTAAAATAAATGACATCCTGAGAGCCTTATGAACCCAGTACTTTAGTTGGTTAACAGTTTACAGCAGACTGAGATTTGTTGTGTAACTTGAATGCAGCAAGTCAGTGAATGCCAAAACAAGCATAGTATTCCTTGAACTACTGCATTAATTAATTTTTGTGCCATATGTAGGCACCAATGTATATCCATTTTTTTTTTTTTACAATAAACTTTACCATGGATATACTGTACTACTTTGTTATACAGTACTGCTTTACCAATATATGAGAATAGTACAGTAGCTGGACAGGTGTGTGTAAAGTTTGGGTTAGGGGTGGAAAGCGTATGGCAGCTCTCCTGCCCATATAGCTATATACAGTATAATTTTTCTTCCACAGTTTTAGAAAAAAAAAATTTATATCTTGAAAACATTAATTTTTCAGGCAGTATAGTATATCCAGATACAGTGTTTCCAGCAAAGTACAGTATAAGGCTGCATATGATTGCCTTGTTGATATACAATACTATGTATTTATATGTGTTCTGAATGGTAGTTCCAGTAGCACTAGTGGTTGTTGGGTTTTAATTCAAAAATGCATTGAGGACCTTGTGAATCCCTTAGCTGGCTAGAGCTCTCCAACTTGTACTTGTGGGAGATTAATAGATATTTGGTTGTTATGAGTCATAACTTGCTCATGGAGAAGCAGGAGAAGGCTTTACACTTCAGAAGGAAGCACTGACCTTCCACAACACTTCACTACTGTCCACTGCTCTTCACGCCATGTCAACACTGCATTGCCCTTTACAACATGCCACCAAATTCCTCCATCTTCCACAACATGCCACTATTCTTTACTGCCCTCCACAACATGCCACCAACCAGCACTCCCCCTAGCTTGCCACCAACCAGCACTCCCCCTTGCTTACCACCAACCAGCACTTCCCTTAGCTTACCACCAACCAGCACTCGCCCCTAGCTTACCACCAACCAGCACTCGCCCCTAGCTTACCACCAACCAGCACTCACCCCTAGCTTACCACCAACCAGCACTCACCCCTAGCTTACCACCAACCAGCACTTGCCCCTAGCTTACCACCAACCAGCACTCCCCTTAGCTTACCACCAACCAGCACTCCCCTTAGCTTACCACCAACCAGCACTTGCCCCTCGCTTACCACCAACCAGCACTCGCCCCTAGCTTACCACCAACCAGCACTCACCCCTAGCTTACCACCAACCAGCACTCCCCTTAGCTTACTGCCAACTAACATTACCAACAGCTTGGCACCAACCATTATTACTTATCATACCATGGGCGGGGATAGAACCCGCGGGTTCTATCCCCACCCATGGTATGGTTTGTTTGCAATCGTATCATTACGATTTCATGAGTCATTATTACTTACCATAACTTTCCACCACCCGTCACCACGCCATGCCACCATTCACTGCAACCATCCACAACTTTCCAGCATACACCAGAACTTTCCACAATTTGTTATCACACATCACCACCCTCCACATCATGGCATCACACACCCTCCAGACAAAAAAATCTGAAGGTGTAAATTAACACATATTTGTATATTTAGAGAGGTTGGAACAAAATATAATGACTTGGAGGGTGTATAAATCTGTAGTGGAAGGAAGGCAAGGAAAGGATTGTCCTAAGAGAAGTTGGAGGGAGGGGGGTAAAGGAGGTTTTGTGTGCGAGGTGCTTGGACATCCAGCAGGTGTACCTGAACGTGTTAGACAGGAGTGGAGACATAGTTTTTATGACTTTACGTGCTGTTGGAGTGTGAGCAGGGTAACATTTATGAAGGGATTCAGGGAAACCGGTTAGTGGGACTTGAGTTCTGGAGGTGGGAAGCACAGTGCCTGATCTCTGATGGAGGGGTGTTGATATGCTGCAGTTTTTTAACTAGTGTAGGCGTGCCTCTGGTAAGATAGTGATGGAGTGAATGGTGATGAAAGTGTTTCTTCTTTTTCGGGTCACCCCACCTTTGTGGGAAATGGCTGATGTGTTAATAAAAAAATATTGTATACTATTTCCTAGATTTTTTTTATTAACACATCGGATGATTACCACCACGGCAGGGTGACCCGAAAAAGAAAACCTTTCATCATCATTCACTCCATCACTGTCTTGCCAGAGGTGTGCTTACACTACAGTTATAAAACCGCAACATTAACACCCCTCCTTCAGAGTGCAGACACTGTTGTGCAACCTGCCACAGTACTAGTAATAGAGCCAAACAAGAATTTACTGTTTAGCTGGGTATTTAAAGGTTAAAAATATAATTTCCCCTGCAAAAAGCATTTTAATGTCACTATTAGGCCAAGTTACCCATGTGTTTCTGGCAGAAGGGAATCTGTTAAAGGTTATGTCACAAGCTAAAAGGTTATCTAAACTTGTAAGATGAATGACTTATGAGTCTAGCTTTTACGATGTTCTCTGGTCATAAACTTTGACTTAGAAGAAAACAAACTAGTTAGATTGCACAAGAGATTTCATACTAGAATTGCAACAGAATACAGCTTGATGCATATTGCATTAGTGGAAGGATGCATTTAGTGGGCATTGGGGGATAGAAAAGATACTATATTATTGAGAATCAAGGGAAGCAAGTAGAAAGTGTGACAAAAGGCTAGGCAAAGAGTAGTATGAAGGGAAAATGAGAGAATCTGAGGAAGTAAATGATATTCAGTATCCTTGCATCAAAAATATTTGAGAGATTAATCCACAAGCAGCTGTACATCTGCCTGACCAAGCACAATGTACTTACTCCTTGTCAGTTTGGGTTGAAACCCAAAAAAAGTACTAATGATGCAATAGTAACAGTGCTATACATTGAAAAAAGCATTCTATGTATCTTTTGGTAATCATCTGTGTCCACAGTTGGATATTAGAATTAATGATACATAACACAAGAAGGGGAAAATTTCTAGGTGTAATAGTGGACAATAAATTGAAATTTAATACCCATATCCAAGACATCAACAGAGGTCTTCAAGATGGTAGGGACAAGGAGATTTATGGTGTTTTATTGCTTTGCTACATACTCTTGCTCAAGTATTATTTTTTTTGTCCTAGTGGTATATCTAAAAACATTTTCTTCCAAAAACATGTATACTCCATGTCATTTTCTTCTTAACAGCCCAAAGTGGATGTATGGTTAGGACTGTGGCATCTGGTCGTGCCACTGGGTGACGGAAAGGCCGGCACCAGTGCCACACGACAGCGCTATGACCATCGCAATGATAGCAAATCAGGACCCACAGGAGGGACCACCTAACACTCCACCACAGGTAATGTTGGATAATCACTAGAACTTGATATTGTCTCATTGAATTTTTTTTTTTTTGTCAAATTTTTCTTTTGGTTATAGTAGTGTATTTCCAGTGCACTGAACTCCTTTTGCTATCTTGATAATAGTTGTCTGATATATAGTATGTCTGTGCTGTACAGTATTTTATTGCAGTGCTGTATTTAACAAATTTAAAATCTAGTGATGTACAGTACTGTTTAATGTATTAAGCTTGCAGTAAACATGTAATGAATTGATTTTTTTCTCACAGGGTAGTGATGGAGAAGTGTTGGGTGAAGGTGAGGGTGAGGATTTGGGTGGTGGGGAGCCCGATTTTCCCCTGGCTGACTTGGCCAGACTAGATGAGATGATACACCGACAAAGATGGGTGGTCCCGGTTTTACCCAAGTGTGAGCTGGAGCTCTTGCTGGAAGCCTCCATCGATCTCTGTACTCGGGGTTAGTGTGTACAATAGGTATCTGTTTCTTATATGTGAAGAGCTGTAGTGGGCAACAGGAAATTAAATCGTGAAATTCCAGCCTATTTGGAAAATATGAAGAATTCTAAGTGATACAGGATATAAGAGGCAGGTATACCTTTTAGTAGAACAGAAAGGACATGTAGGGGATCTAAGAATAATTGTCAGCCACTCAAATGTTTAAGAATAGTCCTAAATAATAAAGCAAATGTAGTTCACCCAGGAAACTTAGAGCAGATGTAGAACTTTCAAAGCAAATGTTGCCTTATTATTGGTGCTACTCAGGGAATTAGTTTTTGCATTTTGAAAACCATTGCTTTGTTCATAAACTAGAAAATATTCAAGAGCTTTTATTGCACTCAGAAATAGCATGGTAGGTAAACTACTGGGATTGCCTTACTTAACCCTTTCAGGGTCCAGAGGCCAAATTTCAAAGTGTGCACCAGGGTCCAAGAATTTTCAAAAAATAATTTTGTTATTTTTTTCTTATGAAATGGTAGAGAATCTTTTTCTGAGGGTAATAAAACAAAAAGTACAAAATTTGGGGGAAAATTGATGAAATTATGCTCTCGCGAATTTTGATATGTCAGCGATATTTACGCATCAGCAATTTTGCCGACTTGGAATCCCATTTTAGGCCTATTACATTATTCCAGTTGACCAAATTCTTAGCTATTTCACCAGTATTACTTCTATTCTATCGATTGAGCACTGGAAATTGCCAAGTCAACTGTTTCAACTACAAAATAAAGTGATCGGAAATTGGTAATTTGGCCAATTTAATGCAAAGTTCAAAATATTCTAATTTCAAAATAGGGTCCAGAATAAACAATGCGGGCATTCCTGGAACTAAACTAACATTTCCTCTGTTCATTAGTTATGTTTTCAGGCTTTACAAATGAATTCCATTTTTATTTTTATTCACATAATGAATTTTTATTCAAACCAAAAAATGGAAGATTTACTGTTATGCAATATTGTAATAATTGTATAAATAATATCAGCACATTTGTGAACGTATATTAGACCCACCATCTGGTGTGTATTAGATGTGTGAGGTCATTTGTTTACTCTTGAACATCGGCAAAAATTTAACATTTCTGCTACTTTGAGCTCAGTTTCAAGCCATTTTCACTACTAAAACCAATCAAAATCATCTCTATTTCTCTAATATATCTTCCATTCTATCAAATGAGACCAAGAAATCGCAAATACAACTATAAAAAACATACGAAAAAACACTGCAAAGTCGCTGTTTTAATTGAAAATTATGGTCTGTTTTTTCTCTCTCATTATGCACTGTGTGCTGCAGGATTTGTTTTATGCAATGCACACATACCACATAGATGTATTCTCTCATATCTAGGCCCAAATTTACCGCTCACAGCTTATCAGAGTGAGCTGAGCTCATGGCGTAGATCTACGGTTTGGACCCTCAACGTAAAGCCGTAGATCTATGATACGGACCCTGAAAGGGTTAACAAGATCCTCCAAAACTTTTGCAGTTAATAATTATAACGTGTTCTAGCTCTTCTTCAGTCAGTGTTTCACTATTGCTAAGATGGTCAAATGGGTGTTCACAAGCCTTAAATATTGATTATTTTAATATTTTGTGGTGCTCTTGGTGGGTCCACGCTATTTTTTTTTGTCTTCATCTTATTTATTTGGCATTGTTGTACTGTATAATTGGTTTATTTTTGTTGGTAGATGAGTCTAACCTAATCTAAATAAAGTATTTTAAAACATTTACTGAATAAAAGATATGGGTAAAATTCTATGCTATGATTCCACTGACTGTTTATGAACAAAGTTCTGACTATTTCTAAAGATGATGGGTGGGTGTTCACTGTTCCCAAGGACTATTTGCTATATTGTAAGTTAATTATAGCATCTACATTTGAAAGTTGTGCAAGGCTAGATTTAACTGTTTACCACGTTATTTTAATGCAGGTGTAGATACAAGAAGTGAGGCATGTCAGAGATTCTTCAGGGAAGGGCTGACCATTTCTTTCACCAAAATCCTTACTGATGAGGCTGTAAACAGCTGGAAGTTTGAAATTCATGTAAGTATTGAATTATTTAGGTACATTTTCTATAATTTAACATGATGGAGAAATATATGTGAGAAAAATGCAATTTTTCTCTTAAATATATGGTCTTCATATTTTGGCACAGTGTAACATTCATATATTACAAGCCATAAGTTGACTTCCATTACAGATGGAAATAAATTAGTTTTTTTCACATTAGCAGTCAACACATTTAGTGTTTCTATATAGGGGAAACTGGTGACAGTATTTATACTGTATATAAATTGTTTATCAGACAAAATTTAGTGGTACAATGCTTGCTAGCTTTGGATTCTTGGTGAGGTCTGGGAACATACTGTGACATTCATGAATTCAGGGGCTTGGCAGTATATATACAAAGAATGGCATGGTATATGGGCTGTAAAATGTTTGGTGTAGTGTCTGGGGAAAATGTAAATTATATATAGGGTTTAATGGTTAGTAATTTAATTATGTACTTTTATAATTTTGCTTTTAAACTTGCAGAGATGTATCCTCAAGAACTGTGAAAAGTTAATAGAATTAGTTGTAGTGAAACTGCACCAGGACTGGTTTCCCTTACTTGACCTTCTTGCTATGGTGCTCAGCCCTAATTCCAAGTAAGTAAAAGTAACATTTATGAAGGGATTCAGGGAAACCGGCAGGCCGGACTTGAGTCCTGGAGATGGGAAGTACAGTGCCTGCACTCTGAAGGAGGGGTGTTAATGTTGCAGTTTAAAAACTGTAGTGTAAAGCACCCTTCTGGCAAGACAGTGATGGAGTGAATGATGGTGAAAGTTTTTCTTTTTCGGGCCACCCTGCCTTGGTGGGAATCGGCCGGTGTGATAATAATAATAATAAAAGTATTATATATATAATTTGAGTTGAGAAAGAAAAATTTCTCTCCTGTAAATCTAAAAGTACAGTAGACTCGAATACAAGTTTACCTGGAGAGAGTTTCGGGGGTCAATGACCCCGTGGCCCGGTCCGTGACCAGGCCTCATGGTGGATCAGGGCCTGATCAACCAGGCTGTTACTGCTGGCTGCACGCAATCCAACGTACGAGCCACAGCCTGGCTGGTCAGGTACCAACTTTAGGTGCATTTATGCAGCATATGTTTGTGATAAAATGGTTGAGAAATTGCGGCATGAGTTTGTATAGAATGCCGTGATTGATAAAACGTCTGGATGTCTCAGATGTCTACTGCTTAGTAGTCTTATGACCATCTCCAGGCACTCCTTTATCAACACACAATGACCAGGCATTTATGGAATGATAGAATGCACCCTCGTTACTATTATAAATGAGAAAATTGTATACTGGTAGTGAGTGTGGGATCAGGTCAGCTGAAGAGATATATGAGTAGCATCAATTGATAATACATAAACGTCTCAGTTGTATAGTACTATACTTCTCAATAGTGGCTTATCCATCTCCAAGCACTTCTTTGTCAACAAGCAAGAGAAAAAGGAATTTAAGAATGATAAAATTTGTATTTGTCACTATTATTAAAGAGTGAATTCTGTAGTGGATTATACAAGTGGTGTCAACTAATAAAACATATGACTCGGCTGTCTGCTGATAAAGCAGACAGATGTCTCTCTGCTGTCTACAGTTCGGTAATCTCGTACCATTTTGAGACACCTCTCTTGATCAACAAGCAAGAGAATTGGAAAATTTTGGGAAGCATAAAGTTTTTCCTTGTCACTATATAGTGAGTAAATTGTGTAGTGGATTGTGTAAGAGGTATCAGCTGATGAAACAAATGAATCACAGCTGTCTTCTGCTTAGTTAGGCTAAATAACCATATCTAAACACTTCTACATCTACAAGCAAAAGAAACAAAGAATTTAAGTTGTGGTAATAGTCTTCCTTGCTACCTTTATATTTTGCATATTTTATACTGATAAGATTGTGTATTAAATTTATGATAGACCCTAGAGGTGTATCAACCTTCTTCATATTCTCTGGATGGAGCACCCTTCCTATTTTCTCTGGTTAGATGGTATAATGTCATACACCAATGTCAAACACTATCTTACCCAAGGCCTTTTTGAGTGAGTTTATTTAGTAACTAAGTTTTATTTAGCATTTGGGTACATAACACGCACACTGTTTTTAGACCAACGAGTAATGTCATCTACAGTGAAAGGTATCAAACTTCATTATTTTTGATGAAAGATTTAAATACCATATTTCGCGGCTTATAAGATGCGGTTTATAAGACTTGTTTTAGTTTCAGTGGCTCGGCATTGGATGTAACTGGGAGAGCTACAGTCCACCCCACACCCCAAACTTATAGCTCCTGTCACTGACCTTCAGTTTATGGGACACATGGTGGTTTTTGGAGACATTTTCTGGAAAAAATGTGTAATAAGCCGCGAAATACGGTAATTTGTTTGCCATTTGAGAAACCCATGAATGAAACCCTGTATTACCTATACGTTCTTCAGTTTTCATAGCATGTTTTTGCATAAGGTTCTGTTTTCAGGAATGATGGTCTTCTGTATTTAACCTCAGTTTGTAAGGCTTTTTTTTTTTTTTTAGTATGCCAATCTGTTAAGCATTCATGTAAAAAGTACACATTGCTGTCTATTACTTTTTTTAGGGAGGGAAGATGGTTTAGGAAGGGATAGTGGGAATGTGTGTGTCTTATTTTACATTTAAATGTGAAATTTTAATTTAATTTTGGAATGGGAAATAAAATGAATACTAAGGGATGAGGCTCAGGTTAGGCTGTGTAGGAGAGACGGAGATTACTTCCCAGTAAAAGTAGGTCTTAGACAGGGATGTGTACTGTCACCATGGTTGTTTAACATATGTATAGATGGGGTTGTCAAAGAAGTAAATGCTAGGGTGTTGGGGAGAGGGGTGGGGTTAAATTATGGGGAATCAAATACAAAATTGGAGTTGACAGTTACTTTTTGCTGATGATACTATGCTTTTGGGGGATTCTAAAGAAAAGTTGCAAAGGTTAGTGCATGAATTTGAGAGGGTGTGTAAAGGTAGAAAGTTGAAAGTGAATGTAGGAAAGAGTAATGTGATGAGTGTATCAAATGATTTAGATAAAGAAAAATTGGATATCACATTGGAGGGCGTATGGGAGAAGTGAATGTTTTCAGATACTTGGGAGTTGACTTGTCAGTGGATGGGTTTATGAAGGATGAGGTTAACCATAGAATTAATGTAGAAAAAAAGGTGTGGTGCATTGAGGTATCTGTGGAGACAAAAAAAAAAAAAAAAACGTTATCCATGGACTCAGTGAAGGGAATGTACGAGAGTATAGTGGTAACAACACTTCTGTTAGATGGAAGGGTTAATATTGCTGTATACTACCATTTAATTTTTTTCCTGTTGTCCAGTATTATTATATAAACAGTGAAAAATGTAATGTAAAGAAATTCAATTATATTTTTTCTTGCTTCAGGTTTCATACGTTTAATGGAACTCGTCCTTCAGAAACTGTACCACAGGGGTCACAGATCCTTGACTATGAACTATTTGCCAGACCGCCTGATCCAAGAAATCCCAGAGGTTGGCTGGTGGATCTTATCAATCTTTTTGGAAAACTTGGTGGCTTTCAAATTCTTCTTGAAAGATTTCAGTCTGGGAAGAATCTCTCAGTTCCTGTAATCTGTGCCCTCTTAAGACCATTTGGCCTCTGCTTTGAGATGCTCACTGTACCTACTATAGAGAAATACTTCATGCCTATTGTAGTAAGTACAATCTAGAACTATTAATTTGGTTATTTTATATATGAAGACATTTTTTAATTTATGAAGCAATTCATATTCAGTTTTTTGTTCAGTTGTGTATATCATTTATCACTTTTTCTGTGGTTTAAATATGTATTAATCTCTTGAGCAGTTGGTTGGCATCGCAGTATAAAAGTAAAATGTTTATGCAAGATGCTCTGAAAGTTAATATGGTATTTCGGCCTTTTCGTTTGAGTTTCTTTTGTTATTTTGAGTACTGTGTTCCTACCTTTCATGATACCCACAACCCAACAGGAGGTAGTTCCAGCCTTTTTAGAGAATCTTACCGATGAGGAATTAAAGAAAGAGGCCAAGAATGAGGCCAAAAATGACGCGCTTTCTGCAATCATCAAAGCCATCAAGTGCCTGGTGTCTCGAGTGCCCAGTCAAGAGGAGACTGCCAAAAATCTTGAGTTTTTTTAGACTAAAAATGATACTCAGGTAAGTGATCTCCTCAGTTTGTATTTTAACTTTTAGTTGCATAGCTGATAAATGGCTTATTTCAAAAGCCACATATCAGAATAAGAGTTGAAAATGTGCCATTTCATTCCAGATTAATTTCTGACAACTGGAAAACAAAATGTACATTTATAGTACTTATATAACATATCAAATTAGTAGGTTGGTAGACAGCAACCACCCAGGGAGGTACTACCGTCCTGCCAAGTGAGTGCAAAAGGAAAGCCTGTAATTGTTTTACATGATGGTAGGATTGCTGGTGTCTTTTGTCTGTCTCATAAATATGCAAGATTACAGGCATGTCTTGCTACTTCTAATTACACTTAGGTCACACTACACATACATGTACACGTTTATTTATACACACTCATCTGAGTTTTCTTTGATTTTATCTTAATAGTTCTTGGTCTTATTACTTATCCTTTTATATCCATGGGGAAGTGGAATAAGAATCTTTCCTCCATAAACCATGCGTGTTGTAAAAGTCAACTAAAATGCCGGGAACAGTGGGCTAGTAACCCCTTTTCCTGTAAAGATTACTAAAAAGAATAAGAAGAAAATTGTCAAAGTGGGAATGTGCGTGGATGTTGTGCAAATGATAAGAAAGAGATGATTGTGGATGTTATGAATGAGAAGAAACTGGATGTCCTGGCTTTAAGTGAAACAAAGCTGAAGGGGGTGGGAGAGTTTCAATGGAGAGGAATAAATGGGATTAGGTCAGGGGTTTCAAATAGAGTTAGAGCTAAAGAAGGAGTAGCAATAATGTTGAAGGATAAGCTATGGCAGGAAAAGAGGGACTACAAATGTATAAATTCAAGGATTATGTGGAGTAAAATAAAGATTGGATGTGAAAAGTGGGTTATAGTAAGCGTGTATGCACCTGGAGAAGAGAGAAGTTGTAGAGGAAGAGAGAGAGATTCTGGGAAATGTTGAGTGAATGTGTGGGGAGTTTTTTAATCAAGTGTGAGAGTAATGGTGGTTGGAGATTTCAATGCTAAAGTGGGTAAAAATGTTATGGAAGGAGTATAGGTAAATTTGGGGTGCCAGGGGTAAATGTAAATGGGGAGCCTTTAATTGAGCTATGTGTAGAAAGAAATTTGGTAATAAGTAATACATATTTTATGAAAAAGAGGATAAATAAATATACAAGGTATGATGTAGCACGTAATGAAAGTAGTTTGTTAGATTATGTATTGGTGGATAAAAGGTTGATGGGTAGGCTCCAGGATGTACATGTTTATAGAGGGGCAACTGATATATCGGATCATTATTTAGTTGTAGCTACAGTTAGAGTAAGAGGTAGATGGGAAAAGAGGAAGGTGGCAACAACAAGTAAGAGGAGGTGAAAGTGTATAAACTAAGGGAGGAGGAAGTTCGGGCGAGATATAAGCGACTATTGGCAGAAAGGTGGGCTAGTGCAAAGATAGTAGTGGGGGGGTTGAAGAGGGTTGGAATAGTTTTAAAAATGCAGTATTAGAATGTGGGGCAGAAGTTTGTGGTTATAGGAGGGTGGGGGCAGGAGGAAAGAGGAGTGATTGGTGAATGAAGAAGTAAAGGGTGTGATAAAAGAGAAAAAGGTAGCTTACGAGAGGTTTTTACAAAGCAGAAGTGTTATAAGAAGAGCAGAGTATATGGAGAGTAAAAGAAAGGTGAAGAGAGTGGTGAGAGAGTGCAAAAGGAGAGCAGATGAAAGAGTGGGAGAGGCACTGTCAAGAAATTTTAATGAAAATAAGAAAAAATTTTGGAGTGAGTTAAACAAGTTAAGAAAGCCTAGGGAAAATATGGATTTGTCAGTTAAAAACAGAGTAGGGGAGTTAGTAGATGGGAGAGGGAGGTATTAGGTAGATGGCGAGAATATTTTGAGGAACTTTTAAATGTTGAGGAAGAAAGGGAGGCAGTAATTTCATGCACTGGCCAGGGAGGTATACCATCTTTTAGGAGTGAAGAAGAGCAGAATGTAAGTGTGGTGGAGGTACGTGAGGCATTACGTAGAATGAAAGTGGGTAAAGCAGCTGGAACTGATGGGATCATGACAGAAATGTTAAAAGCAGGGGGGGATATAGTGTTGGAGTGGTTGTACTTTTGTTTAATAAATGTATGAAAGAGGGGAAGGTACCTAGGGATTGGTGGAGAGCATGTATAGTCCCTTTATATAAAGGGAAGGGGGACAAAAGAGATTGTAAAAATTATAGAGGAATAAGTTTACTGAGTATACCAGGAAAAGTATACGGTAGGATTATAATTGAAAGAATTAGAGGTAAGACAGAATGTAGGATTGCGGATGAGCAAGGAGGCTTCAGAGTGGGTAGGGGATGTGTAGATCAAGTGTTTACATTGAAGCATATATGTGAACAGTATTTAGATAAAGGTAGGGAAGTTTTTATTGCATTTATGGAGGGGTGTTAATGTTGCAGTTTAAGGACTGTAGTGTGAAGCACCCTTCTGGCAAGACAGTGATGGAGTGAGTGATGGTGAGAGTTTTTCTTTTTCGGGCCACCCTGCCTTGGTGGGAATCGGCCGGTGTGATAATAAAAAAAAATATGATAGAGTGGATAGAGGAGCAATGTGGCAGATGTTGCAAGTATATGGAATAGGTGGTAAGTTACTAAATGCTGTAAAGAGCTTTTATGAGGATAGTGAGGCTCAGGTTAGGGTGTGTAGAAGAGAGGGAGAATACTTCCCGGTAAAAGTAGGTCTTAGACAGGGATGTGTAATGTCACCATGGTTGTTTAATATATTTATAGATGGGGTTGTAAAAGAAGTAAATGCTAGGGTGTTCGGGAGAGGGGTGGGATTAAATTATGGGGAATCAAATTCAAAATGGGAATTGACAGTTACTTTTTGCTGATGATACTGTGCTTATGGGAGATTCTAAAGAAAAATTGCAAAGGTTAGTGGATGAGTTTGAGAATGTGTGTAAAGGTAGAAAGTTGAAAGTGAACATAGAAAAGAGTAAGGTGATGAGGGTATCAAATGATTTAGATAAAGAAAAATTGGATATCAAATTGGGGAGGAGGAGTATGGAAGAAGTGAATGTTTTCAGATACTTGGGAGTTGACGTGTCAGCGGATGGATTTATGAAGGATGAGGTTAATCATAGAATTGATGTGGGAAAAAAGGTGAGTGGTGCGTTGAGGTATATGTGGAGTCAAAAAACGTTATCTATGGAGGCAAAGACTGGAATGTATGAAAGTATAGTAGTACCAACACTCTTATGTGGGTGTGAAGCTTGGGTGGTAAATGCAGCAGCGAGGAGATTGAGGCAGTGGAGATGTCCTGTCTAAGGGCAATGTGTGGTGTAAATATGCAGAAAATTCAGAGTGTGGAAATTAGGAGAAGGTGTGGAGTTAATAAAAGCATTAGTCAGAGGGCAGAAGAGGGGTTGTTGAGGTGGTTTGGTCATTTAGAGAGAATGGATCAAAGTAGAATGACATGGAAAGCATATAAATCTATAGGGGAAGGAAGGCAGGGTAGGGGTCGTCCTCGAAAGGGTTGGAGAGAAGGGGTAAAGGAGGTTTTGTGGGCAAGGGGCTTGGACTTCCAGCAAGCGTGCGTGAGCATGTTAGATAGGAGTGATTGGAGACGAATGGTACTTGGGACCTGACAATCTGTTGGAGTGTGAGCAGGGTAATATTTAGTGAAGGGATTCAGGGAAACCGGTTATTTTCATATAGTCGGACTTGAGTCTTGGAAATGGGAAGTACAATGCCTGCACTTTAAAGGAGGGGTTTGGAATATTAGCAGTTTGGAGGGATATGTTGTGTATCTTTATATGTGTATGCTTCTAAACTGTTGTATTCTGAGCACCTCTGCAAAAACAGTGATAATGTGCGAGTGTGGTGAAAGTGTTGAATGATGAAAGTATTTTCTTTTTGGGGATTTTCTTTCTTTTTTTTTTGGGTCACCCTGCCTTGGTGGGAGATGGCCGACTTGTTGAAAAAAAAAAAAAAAAGTCCACAGTCACTACAGTTTCTCCCTGGAACCCTCTTAATATTTGAAATACTACCTTAGATTATCATAATTTTTCTTTCCTGTAAGCTAGTTGATGATTCTATTTATTCACCAATTTATACTTTGCAACATATCAGTAGAAGATATTTTTCAAGAGGGCTTATAACATTTATGTTAAATTTTCTTTTCTAGCAAATACTAGGTCTGTTATTGAGTGTTTTTCCCACATGTTTGATAACCTTTAATGTGCTCATGTATTAAACAACATAACATTAAGGACTTCAGTTGACTATTTGTTTACCATTCCAGCCTCTTAGGTTATCCACACTTTCCATATAAATCAGATCCCTTATTGCTATGAATTTTCTCCCTTTTTGTAATCATATTTCTTTAAAAATAAAGTGAATTAGGGTCTATTAAGGGTATGTATGACATGAGGATTGAGTTCATTATCAGTGTGAAAACTATACTGTGTTGATACATATTTTTTTTTTTTTTTTTTACAGGAATAATGTATTTGGTTTGTTCTTATTTCAGGTTATTGCAAATCTCATCCTTCAATGGGAAGATGAATGCCTTGAATGAAGTAAACAAGGTGATTACTAATGTTTCTTATTATTCACATCGTCATGGACCTGTTGAAGAGGAGGAATGGTTGACTGCAGAGCGCATGGCGGTAAGGTTTCCAACTTCCCTTCTTGCTGGAAATAAATGGTATAAAATACCGACACAATGGAAATATAAACAAATATGCAGTATAATGTGATCCTTTATTGACTACGTTTTGCCCACACAGTGGGCTTTTTCAAGTCACAAACAGAACTACCTGGGGTGGAAGGAACGCGAGTATTTATAGTTAGGTTCAGAATGCTGAGGTCAGGTGGAGAATGCTGCATCTGATGATGTACCGAGTGGGGTTATAGAGTCTAAAATCCGACAACTTCAACCAGAATAGTGGCTTCTATAACATAGCTGAACCACTTGTCAAGAAGCTTCTTCATCGCTATCCCACATGAGAACACTGTAGAAGGTCTGCTCACAAACTTGTCCAATCTCCTTTCCAAGCTACCCAAGATTTTAGACTCTATAACCCCACTTGGTACATCATCAGATGCAGCATTCTCCACCTGACCTCAGCATTCTGAACCTAACTATAAATACTCGCGTTCCTTCCACCCCAGGTAGTTCTGTTTGTGACTTGAAAAAGCCCACTGTATGGGCGAAACGTAGTCAATAAAGGATCACATTATACTGCATGTGTGTTTATATTTCCACTTTCCCTTCTTGCTGTTTAGAAATTCTGAGTACAAAACACCAAAAACATTATTGACGTGAAAAATGTACTCAGACCTCGCCTGAATATGGAGTGGGGTGCAGAGAATACAACAAAGCTTGTACTTTTGCTAAAGTTTAAACCACACCAAAACGTTGCTTTTTTTTTTATTTCAGTAAAAAATTTACTCGACTGAGCTTAGTCTATTTTCTTTGAGTGGGGCTCTGGCTTTCTTTTGTTTCAATCCTCTTGTTGATGGCTGCAAATTTAAATTTTCTAACCATAGTTAAGCTTTGGTAAATCAAATCTAATTTGTTGAGTGTGAAATGTGCTTGTAAATCACAAGAGCCAAGAGTACTGACATACACATACTTGTATATACATGTACTTTAACAGGCTGGCCATCTCCCAATGAGGCAGGGTGACCTGCAAAAGAAGAAATGAAAGTTTTTCTTATTTTTACATTTAGTAATTTATACAGAAGATGTTACTAACACTTGCTCCTCGCAGTTGCCTCTTACAACACACACGGCTTGAGGAGGAAGGATTCTTCTCCACTTCCCCATGGAGAGACGTATGCATTCATTCATACTTGCATATACGTTCATGCATATACGTTCATGCATATACGTTCATGCATATACATTCATACATATACATTCATACATATACATTCATACATATACATTCATACATATACATTCATACATATACATTCATACATGCATACTGTACATTGCTTTTCAGAGGCAAATATTATATACCTGGCACAAATTAGATGTTTAAATTTATTAAGTATATTTCCTTTTACAGGAGTGGATCAAGGAGAACCGTGTGCTTCAGATAGTGCTTAGAGATTCCCTCCACCAACCACAATATGTTGAGAAGTTAGAAAAGATTATTCGCTTCATTATCAAGGAGAAAGTAAGTATAGTGCCCCTATGATACTTGAGTTAGCCAGATAATAAGCAATGTATGATTTGTGGTTCGTCTTGTCATTTTCTAAAGACAGGATATTGCATTTTACGACTTTCTTGACCACCTTCATATTGAAGTCTCCATTAATTTTTTAACATACAGTGGACCCCCGGTTTACGATCAGCTCCCAATGCGACCAACTAGGTAAGTGTATTTATGTAAGTGCGTTTGTATGTGTATGTTTGGGGGTCTGAAATGGACTAATCTAATTCACAATATTCCTTATGGGAACAAATTCGGTCAGTACTGGCACCTGAACATACTTCTGGAATGAAATAATATCGTAAACCGGGGGTCCACTGTACTGACTGTCTTCCACTGATGCAGGGTGACCCAATAAAAAAGAAACACTTTCACTATCACACTATCACTGTCTTTGGAGAGACGTCCAGATACGACAGTTTAGAAGTCACTCTAAACTGCAAATATCCCAAACCCCTCCTTTACAGTTCAAGCATTACACTTTGCACTTCCAGGCCTCAAGTCCGGTTAACTGGTTTTCAAGAATCCCTTCACAAAATATTACTTTGCTCATACTCCAACAGTTCATTGTCCCAAAAACCATTCGTCTCCATTGACTTCTGTCTAACACGCTCACATGTCTGCTGTATGTCCAAGCCCCTTGCACACAAAACCTCTTTTACCCCTTTCCTTCATCCTTTCCAAGGATGACCCCCAACCCCTTTGTTTTATAACCAGTTTATTTGGTGGTTCTGCAGAGCGAAGTTCAATGATAAACGTCTTCGGAGGCTTCTTACTTTATTTGAAAGTCGTGGTGGGTACACAGGCTTGTGTGTTTGTGCCCATGGCCCGGGAGGGAGAGAGGGAGTAGACTTGTTGACTGAGTCTGGGCCGCTGAGTGAGTGAGCGAGTGGGACCAACATCCCACTGACCTGGGCAGGCCTAGAGAGGGCAGCACCCGAGTGCTGCAAAATTTGAACTAAGCTGGCAGACAGCATAGGCTGTCTGTGCAGACAGTACAGGCTGTCTACATTTGCTCGGCCACTTACCTTGCGTCGTCCCGAAGTGACAATACTGGTGGTAAAAAAAAACTCTCTCTCTCTCGTAGGAACAGGGCACAGAACACAAAATAAAAAACATGTGTGTAAAACGAAAGCCTGTGATTGTTTTACATGATGGTAGGATTGCTGATGTCTTTTGTCTGTCTCATAAATATGCAAGATTACAGGTATGTCTTGCTACTTCTACTTACACTTAGGTCACACTACACATACATGTACACATTTATTTATACACACTCATCTGAGTTTTCTTTGATTTTATCTTAATAGTTCTTGGTCTTATTAATTTTCCTTTTATATCCATGGGGAAGTGGAATAAGAATCTTTCCTCCGTAAGCCATGCGTGTTTGTAAAAGTCAACTAAAATGCCGGGAACAATGAGCTCTAAAACCCCCTTTTTCCCGTAAAGATTACTAAAAAGAATAAGAAGAAGAAAATGTCAAAGTGGGAAGTCTGAATGTGCATGGATGTTGTGCAGATGATAAGAAAGAGATGATTGTGGATGTTAGAATAAAGAACGGGGATTCCTGGCTTTAAGTGAAACAAAGCAAGGGGGGGGGGAGATTTTCGTGGAGGGAAAAAAAGGGATTAGGTCGGGGGTTTTCAAATAGAGTTAGAGCTAAAGAAGGAGTAGCAAAAAGTGAAGGATAAGCTATGGCAGAAAAGAGGGACATAAATGTATTAATTTCAAGGTTTATGGGGATAAAATAAAGATTGGATGTGAAAAGGGGTTTTATAAAAAGCGTGTATCACCTGGAGAAAGAGAAGTGAGAGGAGAGAGAAAGTTTTGGAAAATAATGAATGCGGGGGGGAGTTTTGAATCAAGTGTGAAGTAAGGTTTTGGGGTTTTTAAATGCTAAAGGGGTAAAAATTTTAGGGAAAGGGAGTAAGGTAATTTGGGGTGCCAGGGAAAAATTTAAAAAGGGGACCTTTTAATTGAGCTATGTGAAAAAAAATTTTTGGTAAAAGAAATAAATATTTTTAAAAAGAGGAAAAAAAAAATTACAAGGTATGAGTAGCAGTAATAAAAGTTTTTATTAATTATGAAATTTGGGGAAAAAAGGGTTTGAGGTGGGCTCCAGATGTACATTTTTTTAAAGGGGGCAACGAATATCAGATATTATTAGTTTAGCTACAGTTAGAGTAAAGTAGAGGGAAAAAGAAAGGGGGCAAAAAAAATAAGGGGGGGGTGAAAGTGTATAAACTAAGGGAAAAAAATTCGGGTGAGATATAACACTATTGGCAAAAGGGGGCTGGCAAAGATGATAGGGGGGGTTGAAGAGGGTTTTGGGAAAATTTTCAAAAAGCAGTATTTGAAAGTGGGCAGAAGTTTTTTGGTTATGGAGGGTGGGGGCAGGGGGAAAGAGGAGTGATTGGTGGAAAATGAAGTAAAGGGGGTGATAAAGAGAAAAAGGTAGCTTACGGGGGGTTTTTACAAAGCAGAATGTTTTAAGAAGAGCAAGTAATGGAGAGTAAAAGAAAAAGGGAAAGAGAGTGGTGAGAATTTCAAAAGGAGAGCAGATGATAGGGGAAGGCACTATCAAGAAATTTAATGAAAAAAAAAAAAATTTTGGGGGGAGTTAAACAAGTTAAAAAAGCCCAGGGAAAATAGGTTTTTCATTAAAAACAGAGTAGGGGGGTTAGTAAGGGAGATGGAGGTATTGGTAGATGGCAGAATATTTTGAGGAACTTTTTAAAAGTTAAAGGGAAAAAACAAGGGAGAATTTTATGCATTGGGCAGGGAGGAAACCATCTTTTAGGAGGAAGAAAAGCAGAATGTAAGGCGGGGGAGTACGGAGCAATTTTAAAAGAAAGGGGGGAAAGCGCGGAACGATGGGGCATGACAGAAAATTTAAAAGCAGGGGGGGGGGGGTATATTTGGAGTGGTTTTGGGACTTTTGTTTAAAAAATGCTGAACGAGGGGAAGGTACCTAGGGATTGGCAAGAGCATGTAAAGCCCCCCTTTTTTAAAAAGGGGAAAAGGGGGCCCAAAAGGGGACTGTAAAAATTATGGGAGGAATAAGCTTCCCTGAGTATCCCAGGAAAAGTGAAACAAAGGGTTATAATTGAAAAAATTTAGGGGTAAGAAGAATTTAGGATTGCGGATGAGCAAGGGGGTTTTCAGAGTGGGTTGGGATGTGAGATCAGGTGGTTTTCATTGAAAACTTATGTTTAACAATATTTTGATAAAGATAGGGAAGTTTTTATTGCATTTTTTGGATTTAAAAAAAGGCATATGATAGAGTGGAAGGGGGAGCAATGTGAAGATGTTGGGAAGTTATGGAAAAAAGGGGGGTAAGTTATTTAAAAGCTGTAAAAAAGTTTTTAAAGAGGGTGTGAGGGTCAGGTTAGGGGGTGGAAGAGAGGGAGACAAATTCCCGGTAAAAGTAAGGGCTTTTGACAGGGGGTGTTTAAAGCACCAAGGTTTTTTTTAATATATTATTTATAGAAGGGGTTTTTTTTTTTTAAAGGAAAAAAATAAAAGCTAGGGGGTTTTTTTGGGGGAGGGGGGGATTAAATTATGGGGGGTTTAAATTCAAAATGGGAATTGACAGTTTCTTTTTTCTTTATGATACTGTGCTTATGGGGGATTCTAAAGAAAAATTTCCCCAAAAGGGTTTTGGATAGTTTTTGGGGAAAGTGGGGGTAAAGGGAAAAGTTGAAAAATTTAACATAGAAAAGAGTAAGGATGAGGGGGGCCCAAAAGATTTAGAAAAGAAAAATTGGGTATCAAATTGGGGAGGAGGAAATATGGAAAAGTGAATGTTTTCAGATACTTGGGGGTTGACGTGTCGGCAGATGGATTTATGAAGGATGAGGTTAATCATAGAATTGATGAGGGAAAAATGGTGATGGTGCGTTGAGGTATATGTGGAGTCAAAAACGTTATCTATGGAGGCAAAGAAGGGAATATATGAAAAGTATAGTAGTACCAACACACTTATATGGTGTGAAGCTTGGGTGGTAAATGCAGCAGCGAGGAGACGGTTGGAGGCAGTGGAGATGTACTGTTTAAGGGCAATGTGTGGTGTAAATATTATGCAGAAAATTCAGAGTGTGGAAATTAGGAGAAGGTGTGGAGTTAATAAAAGTATTAGTCAGAGGCAGAAGAGGGGTTGTTGAGGTGGTTTGGTCATTTAGAGAGAATGGATCAAAGTAGAATGACATGGAAAGCATATAAATCTATAGGGGAAGGAAGGCTGGGTAGGGGTCGTCCTCGAAAGGGTTGGAGAGAGGGGGTAAAGGAGGTTTTGTGGGTAAGGGGCTTGGACTTCCAGCAAGCGTGCGTGAGCGTGTTAGATAGGAGTGAATGGAGACGAATGGTACTTGGGACCTGACGATCTGTTGGAGTGTGAGCAGGGTAATATTTAGTGAAGGGATTCAGGGAAACCGGTTATTTTCATATAGTCGGACTTGAGTCCTGGAAATGGGAAGTACAATGCCTGCACTTTAACCCTTTCAGGGTCCAAGGCCCAAATCTGGAGTCACGCACCAGTGTCCAAGAATTTAAAAAAAAAAATTTGTTATTTTTTCTTATGAAATCGTAGAGAATCTTTTTGTGAAGGTAATAAAACAAAAAGTACGAAATTTGGTGGAAAATTGACGAAATTATGCTCTCGCGAATTTTGATGTGTCAGCGATATTTACGAATCGGCGATTTTGCCGACTTTGACTCCCATTTTAGGCCAATTACATTATTCTAATCAACCAAATTCTTAGCTATTTCACTAGTATTACTTCTATTCTATCGATTGAGCACAAGAAATCGCCAAGTCAACTGTTTCAACTACAAAATAAAGTGATCGGAAATTGTTAATTTTGACAATTTAACACAAAGTTCAAAATATTCCAATTTCAAAATAGGGTCCAGAATAAACAATGTAGGCATTCCTGGCACTAAACTAACATTTCCTCTGTTCATTA